ATATATATATATATATATACTAAGAAAGATTAATAAAAGAATGAAATAAAATAATAATTTTATAAAATTAACCTTATTACAACTTTCTTTATTAAAAATGATGCAAATAAAAACCTTTCTACATAATATTATCAAGAGTATAAATAAAAATGATATAATTAATATTGTATTGAAAAGTAAATATAATATTTATTTTGAGACTTTTTTAATGTGACATATTATAGGACGGAGGGAGTACTAACTATAAGATTACAAGTTGACGATTCATCTCATAATTTGCACACGAACTTCCATTGGTCGGCCCATAACCACGATTAGTATTAACGCGCTGAAAAATAATAAATGAATAATTAACAAATATTCCATTTGAACCTTTGTATAAATAAAATATGTTTAAATTTTTTGGACTGAAATATAAATAAATTTTAATTAAGTTAACTTTATTTAATATTCTTAATTCAAAAATACTCCTATGACAATAAATGAGAACATTATTTATTATGATTTATGAATGTGGTTTGTAACGACCTGCCTAGCCGTCACACAGCAAACAACACTACGCAGAATAGAGCATACATATATAAAAGTAGAATATATACACATATGTCTAGTCTGGGGCTCAAAGTCAAAGTACAAAATACAGCTAAATTACTACACTAAGTAGACTACAACAACAAAATATCATCTTCATCTGTCAGCTGTAGACCTGCCTCAACACACCAACCTATCCCTGCTCTGCTCCCATACACAGTATGATTAATGTAGTCCAAATCACATGGAAACAACAATGGTAAACTAGTGAAAAGAATCAACATATATATATATATATATATAAATACAGAAATTATAAACAGCTATAGCTTATCAGCACATCATCAGGTTCAGCAAGATCAACATACAACGTACATCTCATATACAACTCACATCATTCAGCAAAATAACATTAAACAAACAATGCGTCATCACGCATATCAGCTCGGAGACCTCCTACAACAGCTCAGCCTTACGACCTACAACAGTTCAGCCTTACGACTTACAATAGTTTATATCAACACAGCACATCATAGCAGCAATAACAGCATATGGCATAACTCAACTTTTACAACAATGTAGCTTAAACATCATAATTCAGCATGAATATCTCACAACACAACACAATCCTCACTCAACTCAACAACATTCATCATTAACAGCTTAAATCAGCATACAATTCAGCTCGGTTCAACAACAAAATTCAGCATATATCAGAAAGAACAAAATTCAACAAAATTCAGCCCGGCGCAATACTAATTGCACCCAGCGCAATGAAGGCAGAGACTCTCAGAAGTCTCACGCGCTCGACGCATCAAACCCGCGCTCGGCACAAGGAAGGCAAAGACCTCTCCAAGGTCTCACGCCCGACGCAATACCAATTGTGCCTGGCGCACCCCTTGGTTAAGTCTCAATTATACTTCTTTTTGGACAAGAATTATTGAACAATTCCACTCATCCTATGCACCATTGCAAGATAATTGTTCTCTTTTTGATTCAATTTTTGTGCAGATATAGCTAACCTAATTTCATCTAACAATACCTTATGGTCTTATTTCTTTCAAAATCACCCCTTAGGTACAATTTCAATCTTTGACCATTAACTTTAAAACTTCTTTCTAAATTGATATATGAAATTTCAATTGTACCAAAGGGGAATACTTATTTAACAACAAAAGGACCTAACCACTGGGATCTTAATTTACCTAGAAATAATTTGAGGCTAGAATTGTATAGCAACACTTGTTGTCCCGGTGCAAACTCTTTAATCACAATTCTCTTATCATGCCATTTTTTGTGCTCTCTTTATAGATTTTAGCATTTTCATATGCCTGCAATCTAAACTCCTCTAGCTCATCCAATTGTAACAACCTTCTCTCACCTGCATTCTTTAAATCAAAATTTAACAATTTAGTAGCCCAAAATGCTTTATGATCTAATTCCACAGGTAAATGACATGATTTCCCATACACCAATTGATATGGTGACATTCCAATAGGAGTTTTAAAAGTTGCACGGTAAGCCCAAAGTACATCATCTAGTCTGTGGATGGTAAGGGGTAGCTATCTTGTGTTTTACACCATATTTTCCTAAGAGTGACTCAAATTGCTTGTTGCAAAAGTGTGAACCTCCATCACTAATTATTGCTCTAGGCTCACCAAATCTAGTAAAAATGTGTTTCTTGATGAAAGAAACCACAAGGTTGGCGTATGTGTATTGACTATAGAAGATTGAATCAAGCCATAAGGAAGGACCATTTTCCACTACCTTTTGTGGATCAAATGCTAGAGAAATTGGTTGGGCATGAGTATTACTATTTTTTGGATGGCTATTCTGGTTACAACTAGATAGCAGTGACCCCTGAAGATCAAGAAAAGATAGCCTTTACATGCCCTTATGGAGTGTTTGCTTACAGATGGAGGCCATTTGGTCTCTGCAATGCACCTGCTACATTTCAGAGGTGTATGTTTTCCATTTTTTCCGATTTAATTGAAAATTGCATTGAGATCTTCATGGATTATTTTTCTGTATTTGGCTCTTCATTTGATTCTTACCTCACTAACCTAACTTTAATTAGTATTAAAAATATGCCAGGAATCTAATTTGGTGCTTAACTGGGAGAAGTGCCACTTTATGGTAAGAGAAGGTATTGTCCTTGGTCATCAAATTTCTGCTAAAGGTATTGAGGTAGATAGAGCAAAGGTAGAAGTAATTGAACAATTACCTCTTCCTGTGAATGTGAAAGGGGTTAGAAGCTTTCTAGGTCATGTAAGATTTTATAGGCGGTTTATCAAAGATTTTTCTAAAATAGCTAAGCTTATGACTAATCTACTTGAAAAAGAAGCCCTTTTTTTTGTTTGATGATGCATGTTTACAAGCATTCAACACCTTTAAGAAACAACTTATTTCTGCTCCCATAATTACAACACCTAATTGGTCTTTACCATTTGAAATTATGGGTGATGCTAGTGACTATTCTGTAGGTGTTGTATTAGGACAAAGAAAAGAAAATTTGTTTCATGTTATATATTATGCTAGACGTGTGTTGAATGAGGCTCAAAGGAATTATACCATGACTGAAAAAGAATTTCTTACTATGGTGATTGCTTTTGATAAATTCAGACCTTATCTTGTTGGCTCTAAGGTCATTGTTTATACTGATCATGCTGCTTTGAGATATTTGTTTGCTAAACAGGATGCCAAGCCACGATTGATTCATTAGATTCTCTTACTACAAGAGTTTGATTTGGAAATTCGAGATAAGCAAGGGAAGTAAAATTTGGTAGCTGACCATCTTTCAAGATTGAAGCTTGATAAGGCAAAGAAGGAGGTCAAGCCTATTTTAGAGGAGTTTCCAGATGAGAAGCTGTTGGTCATTACTTCTCTACCATGGTTTGCTGATTTTGCCAACTTTAAGGCAGCTGGTGTAATTCCTCATGAATTTACTTTTTAGCAAATAATTTTTTTTGCATGATGCTAAATTCTATTTTTGGGATGATCCTTTGTTGTTTAAAAGGTGTGCAGATGGTATAATTAGGAGATGTGTTCCTGAGAGTGAGTTTGAGAGTATTTTTTGGCAGTGTCATGGATCAGATTATGGAGGGCATTTTAGTGGGGAAAGGACAGCTTCTAAGGTGTTACAGAGTGGATTCTAATGGCCTACCCTCTTTAAGGATGCTCGTAGTTTTATTGAAAGGTGTGATAGATGTCAAAGAGTGAGGAATATTTCAAGGAGGAATGAGATGCCCTTAAATAATATACTTGAAGTGGAAATTTTTTATGTTTAGGGTATAGATTTTATGGGGCCATTTCCTTCTTCCTTCTCAAACCAATACATTTTGGTTGTTGTAGACTATGTGTCTAAATGGGTAGAGGCTAGTGCATTGCCAACAAATGATGCTAAATTTGTGGTTTCTTTCATCAAGAAACACATTTTTACTAGATTTGGTGAGCCTAGAGCAATAATTAGTGATGGAGGTTCACACTTTTGCAACAAGCAATTTGAGTCACTCTTAGGAAAATATGGTGTAAAACACAAGATAGCTACCCCTTACCATCCACAGACTAGATGATGTACTTTGGGCTTACCGTGCAACTTTTAAAACTCCTATTGGAATGTCACCATATCAATTGGTGTATGGGAAATCATGTCATTTACCTGTGGAATTAGATCATAAAGCATTTTGGGCTACTAAATTGTTAAATTTTGATTTAAAGAATGCAGGTGAGAGAAGGTTGTTACAATTGGATGAGCTAGAGGAGTTTAGATTGCAGGCATATGAAAATGCTAAAATCTATAAAGAGAGCACAAAAAATGGCATGATAAGAGAATTGTGATTAAAGAGTTTGCACCGGGACAACAAGTGTTGCTATACAATTCTAGCCTCAAATTATTTCTAGGTAAATTAAGATCCCAGTGGTTAGGTCCTTTTGTTGTTAAATAAGTATTCCCCTTTGGTACAATTGAAATTTCATATATCAATTTAGAAAGAAGTTTTAAAGTTAATGGTCAAAGATTGAAATTGTACCTAAGGGGTGATTTTGAAAGAAATAAGACCATTGTTAATCTAGCACCACCGGCTGAAGGTGGTCAATGTTAAGTCTCAATTATACTTCTTTTTGGACAAGAATTATTGAACAATTCCACTCATCCTATGCACCATTGCAAGATAATTGTTCTCTTTTTGATTCAATTTTTGTGCAGATATAGCTAACCTAATTTCATCTAACAATACCTTGATACACCTAATTTTTTGTGCAGGTATTGAGGGATGAGTTGAAAGTTGAAGACCCATTGGCCCAAGGAGTCTCCACGCCCGGCGAGACGTAGTCACGCCCGACGCCAGACCAAAACCCCAAAAAGGTGAGTCCCTAACTGATATCGCACCCAGCGCAGTCCAAACACGCCCGACGTGAGCCATCTAGGGGCTTCCATTCTCAAGCTCGCCTGGCGGGCTTGACCAATAGAGCCCTTTGATGGTCACGCGCCCGACGCCAAGAACTGCGCCCGGTGCCCTACCAAGCAACAACTCTCCAAGTTCAAAAATCTTCACCAAAACCTGCAAAAACAAGCAATCCATACACATGCAATCCGCCCAAAACTCCACATTTTCATCAAACAACACGAAAACCAACTCATTTTTAGCATGCAATCATAAATACATCAAAATTCCCAAATTTCACCCTTTCACCCCAAAACCCGAAAACACAATTTCTTCTAATCAGCCTCTTAATCATCCAACATCAAACAACTCATGAGTTTCTAACTCATTTCCACACAACCAAACACGAATCTAGCTTCCCTTACCTCGGTAGAGAAGGTTCCGAGCTCCAGGAAGAGAAGAATGGAAGAAGAGAAGAAAAGAAAGTTTCGCGCCCACAGCTAACAATCATGCTCTACTCAACACCACCACCTAGTTATCAACCAAGGAAGAAAAGGAAATGATAATCTCCACTTGAGCAAAGAGGGGGGAGGAAAGTGAGAAGAGAGGTTTTGGTTGAAAGGAAAAAGGAAATGAGAACGGGGTCTCACATGGTTAAACATATTTTAAGAAATATAATGTATATTTTATATAAATTTGTGAAAATTAAATGCATTTAATAAATTATGTGAAATTAATTATTCTTGCTTATATATGAAATTGACGATTAATGATCAATCTAAAAGAGAAGTAATGATTTTTAGTTTAAAAAGTATTATAATGATTTAATGTGTTTTAAACTACTTTCAGCTATTAAAGATGTGTTTAAGAATATATTTACATCAATACAAACAAGAATTCACACATTCTTATGCCCTAAACCAAGAAACAAAATAATTCTTCTATTTTATATTCAACATAGTTTTATTGAATTTCAATGATAAACCAAACATGCATCAAGTATCATAAGTTCTTTTTGTGTGTGATATCACAAAAACAAATGAACTTTCTTAGTTGATAAAAGAATATAGAAAATTAAAATTTCATCTTTGCCCATGAGGATGAAGCATAAGTCTATAGAATACATGTATGTATAAAAAAGGTTATGTATTACACATTTAAAACTTGCAATCTCAATTATCTAGTTTCAAACATAGTGCTTATATGTTTAGTAATTCCTTTTCTTCTATTTTCTTGAATGTAAATTACAATCAAGACAAGAGTTAATTTTAAAAATTAAGTTTCACTCAATTTAACTTTCTAATTATAATCCAAATACAAATACACTAATGATAAAAAAAAAAAAAAAAAAAAGAAGCATGCAGATATAAACTGGTGGCAAAGTAAAGTAATAGTAACGTACGTACATGTCATATCTTGTACGATGTGTGTTATGTCATCCACTTCACCCTCAATGCTTTCCTTGTCTGAAAAACTTGTTTTTTCACTCAAGGATTGTCGTTGTCCAGTGTAGTGCCGAACCAGGTTCCCGAATTCACCGACGGTTGTGTTTATAGAAAATGTCTGAGTCTTAGCGGCCTTACGCGACTTTCTAAGCCCAAATGTGTCAGATTCTTTGCCTATTCTCAGAGATGGTGGGTGTGGACCTTCGAGTGGAACAAATTTCTTTCTTTTTCTCTGTAACTGCAATCAAAATTTTAAAAACTTACAAGGGGAAATAAGTTTTTGTTAACAGAAACAAGGTTATGGGTTAAACATTTTTCTTATCCTCATAAATATATAAAATTTTGCCTTTAGTTTCTTATTTTTTAAATGTCAACTTTTAACATTCTCTTTTTAAAAATATGTTAAAGTTCATCTGCACTGGTAACTTGTTATGTTGATCCACGTGTCTAGGATCCATTTAGAATTGGATTCAAATATTGTGAATCAGAAAAACAAAAACAAAAATAACAGTGAAGTTGATTAGTCAAATCTTTTGATAAAGGCTAGAACAACTACTAGTAAATACTTGACATTAATATGGTAAAACAAATCTAGCTGATTGATTGTTAAATTGCATTTATTTTAATTAGTGAGAGATATTATGTGTCTTTATTACTGATTAATTAAAGATTTATTGAAAGCAGAAAAAAGTTAAATAAAAAAATAGTAGAGGAGAGATATTAGAAAAAGTAATTTGAAAGTTATTATAAGGATAAAACTATCTAATAAATTATGTACTCTAAATCACACTATCATATTTATATATGTTATAAATATCATTTTCATTCATAATTTTAAAAGTTGGACCGATCATCAAATTAGTTAGGATACCGAGTCAGTAAATTAAAGATTGAACTAATGAATCACTAATTGAATTGCATGACCCAAATTTTATTATTATTTTTAAAAAATTATTCATATTAATATATTTTATACTTATAATTTCAATAAATTCATATCTTATTTTAAATTTTAAATTTTATTTTATTTAAAATTATCTTTATTTTTATTTTATATAAAAAATACATAAAAAATTACATGTTAAACTATATATTAATACAAATTAAAAATATAAATATGTACATATATAATTTACTTGCAATTGATATCACAAAATAATATATGTCATATATACATAGATTATTAAATATAAAATTTAAAATTAATAATATACCATAAAAATTATTTAAGTTACACATATTATAAATAAATACATTAGAACAAGTAGTCATTATTATGTTTGATAAGACTTTTTGCTTTTTCATTAATAAGATTCAATTCCTATTGTTATTTTTGTGGTTTGTGGTCCCTTAAAAAAGTTTGTGGTTGAACCAGTTTGACTCACTGGTTCACTAGCTGAATCGAAAAATTAATCGATTCATTCCGATTTGAAACAAGTCAAGTGCATAACCGATCCAACTCAAGACTCGGATCGACTGGATCACTGGTTCTTAGTTCAACCGGTCTGACCGACTGGTCTGATCCGATTTTTTAAAACACTATATGATTTTCTTATTTAATTTATAAAATGTTTAGTTTAGTCTAATTTTGCAATAATATTTTTTAATAAGTTCTCTTCTAGAAATTGAGAAAGATCTCATTTTTTTCCTCAACTTTTTTCTTGCACTGATATAGTAAAAATAAAAAATATATAATCGATTTAGTTTCTTAAGTATCTCTCTCGTATTCAGATCCTAATTTGGTAAAATTATAGAAATAATTACTATTGAATATTCATCAATTTTTTTATATTTAAATGGCTACTTATTGTGATTTTTAATATTTGAGGATTAATTATACAATTTTCTTATTGAAAAGACTATTGAAGAGAGAGAACAATGTTTTACCAATGAAATTTGAGATTTATCTCCGGAGGCATTTGGTACATAAATATTTTTATTTTTTCAGAAATTTTAAATTAAAAATGTTAGTTTCTCACGTTTAATTTTAAAAAATAGGTTTTACAAAAAAAAATTATACAAGTTTCCTACTGACTTGTTCTTGTGGAAGTAAATGAAAATTTAACATAATTGAGTTAAAGAAATATTTTATTATTATAAGAATATTAAGTTACCTTAAATTTCTTAATTAATACAGTAAAAAAATTAATTCTTAAGTAACATTTATAAATATTTTTAAAAATATTTATCTTTAATCAAACAAATTTAGTCATTAAAAAACATGGAAAAATTGTTTTTCTTCAAGGAAACGCCTCCTACCATTAAATGACAATTCAAAGTAAAAATCAATGATAAGATACCAACCAACAAACAATAACTAATAATTACCTTATTCTCATCGAGAAATGTACTTAGTTGAGTCTCTTGATGTGCACCAAGTTGGATCATCATGTCACTCACCTCATTAATTGGTGAAAAAAAATGATCAAAAAATTTTGGTCCACCAACATCTTCCCACTCAGCTGCATTCCATTTCAATGTTTCCCACCATATGCTTTCTCCTTTGATAATCTTCAAAGATTTGCTTGACAACTCCCATTTCGAAAAACTTTGGAGTTTTGGACAATAATAAAATACCATTTCTTGTAACTTGTGTTCAGCACACAGGCCATTAAAAATGTTGACCAACTCAGGAAGATACAAAAGTAACACTCTTCTCAACTTGGGAAGGTGAAACATTGATTTTTGTTCTGATGAGTCATGGCTTATCAGGGTGGTTACTTTTGGACAATCTTCAACAATAATCTCCTCTAAAAAGAAAAGCGTGTTCAAAGAATCTGATGTGAAAATGGTAGTTAACATGGGACAAGTGTGCAATGCTATAGATTTTAAGTGGAAAAAGGAGAGACTAGACCCTTCCCGAATGCTTCTTAAATTCTTCATATAGAATACACTCAAAAACTGCAATTTTGGAAGAGCTAGCTCATCATGTAAGTTATTTCCATGTACAATTGTTTCCATTTCATTACATTCCGCCAATATGCATACTTGTAGCCCAGATAAATTCCTCAACTCAAAATCAGATAGACTTTTGATGGTCATATGTCGGTCTAGGTACAAGGCCTTGAAATGTCCAAGATTCATTTTCACTCCATTTGGAACATTTACACCATTAACAAACTTTATACTATAGTCACAATTTTTGAATTTTTGCTCCAATTCAGGTGTTACACGCGATATGAACCGTTTCACATGATGACCAACAACCAATTTGAAATTGAGGAATCTTGTGGAGGGAATGCATTCCAGAAGTTCAGCCCTTGGGACATATATATTCACCGTCTCCAACGTGTTTGATCCAAAAATTTCCATCAAAACACTAGTAACATTCTCATTCCATCGCTCATCTCCAGGGTCAACATTGATGCTTAAACAATTCAACAAAGCAAGATTTGATATCACACCTGGAGGAATTATTGAGTTAGAAATTTGCTCTTCTTTTTTGCCATGATGGTATTCATCAAAGCTGGCGGTTAAGCTTTGCAGTTTCATCAGTTCTCCGACCTCTTTTGGCAAATGGGTAATCAAAGTCCCTTCAAGATCAAGCTCTTCAAGATTCTTCAAATGTCTGATTTCCGGTGGTAGTTCCATGAAGAGATCACAACCTCTAAGATAAAATTTCCGAAGTTGTATTAATTTAAAGAAAGAAAGAGGCAAATTCCTTATACTAGTATAGGATAAGTCTAAGTGTCGTAGCAGAGGCATGTGGTTGAAAAATGAGTCAGGGATATCCATTAAATCAACATTGCCCTGTAACCACAATACTTTGAGTTTAGGACATTTTGGTGATTGCGGTAGCTCACATATTTTATTGTCCATCAATTCCATCCGAATAAGGCCATGCCATCGTCCAATGTGAGGTGGTTCCGTCAATCCTGCTGCAACATGTCTTATGATGGAAGGATTCGAGGTGTGTAATGAATTTATTATATCATAAGTTTCTATTGGCAAATAGACATCATCATTTTCATTTTTCAACAAGACAAAACAGTCTGCAAGCTTTAAGAAGTCATAACGTGCTTGCGTAATGAATTCAGCATATATATTTTCCCAATTTGACACTAAGATTGCTTTTGTCACCCCAATTTTAATGTTGTGAACAAACAAACTGATTTCAAGGCACATCTTTCGTGTATCATCAATGTCTTCCCATATAATATTTAGCAATGCATTGACCATTACCCTATAAATGCCAATTCGGTCACTACCTTGATAATCATAGAAATAATTCAGGCTGCTTAATTTGGTAAGTGCAAGTTCCCAGTCTTTAACATCTTTCACATTTTTCAAGTAATTTGCCACAAGGACAATGGCAAAAAGATGACCATGGCATTCTTCAACTATTTGCACTGCAATTCTCTGAAAGGCCATTGATGAAGAATGTACATTGATATTGCCCACATAGCTGCAAAAGACTTCCCAAGGCAACAGATGATCATGGATCCTAATATTCAAGTCCATTGTGCATGTCATTCTAAAGTCATCATCCTTATCTGCTTGTGTTAATGGTTCATTTGTTATCAACACCACAATTCCAGTTGGAAAATGCACTTTTTGGAGGTCCAACTTCTTGTTGCTGTCAGCATCCACTACAATCACCAAATGCCTAGTGCTTGTCGCAGAAAAACCTGCTGCCATCATTGTATTAATCTCTTCTTGAACTCGAACCTCTGCATCACTCTCATATGTTGAGGCATTGATCCATAGGGGTCTGAGAAAATCTTTGTCAGTACCAAACGTGTAGTGCTTCTTCTCTTCCAAGGCTGCTACTATTTTATTCAAAACAGATCTTTTCTCAATCAAGTTTGTGGTTAACATCCTGACATAGCATTCAGAATAATCTCTCGAAAACAAAGTCTGAATTAGCTGGTTAACTGCGAGATCAACAGTCATATGGAGAATGGCTTCTGGTGTTAAATCATTATTATGTTTGCAGATGGATCTCTCACCACGTTCTATTTGACTTATTATACCCCTTGGCATAAATCCTTGCATACGTCTCAATACCTTCTTAGTTGGTTCATGCCATGGTTTTTCCATCGCAGTATCACCATCCATGGACAATAACTGAGTTTTCCATTCAGAAAATGCACCAATCCAGGATTTCAATATATCTTCCTCATCTAATTTCATTGGATAAGTCAACAAGAGCATGATAAAATCCCTTATCCTCACCAAAGTAGACAACTCCTTGTATGAATCTTCATCTATTTTTGATGATGTTCCCTCTATTTCATTTTCGAGAGAACTATGTGCCTTGCTCAAACCAGAATCCATTTACTAGATGTCTAGCCTTCTGTGAGAGGATAATTTAAATTATCAATAGCAATAATGAAAAAAAATTCCATATGGAAATATAAAATACACATTTTCACCGATACATACTATCAAATATTCAATTCATTGGTACCAATAAAATAGATAAATTAGTTTATTTTAATTATAATGCCATGAATTTAAATTTTATTTTAAAAATTATAAAATTAAATGATTTAAGTGACAATTATATTTAAAGACATTATTTGTAATTTAAGGAAACTAACGAGTAGGGATTTATGTTAATAATATTTAATAAATATATTTATTTCATAACAAATGAGTAAATGTATCACTAATAAACTTCACAATAAATTAATGATTTTATTTTATTTTATACTAATGTCTTAAGGTTTTGTTTTAAAATAATCTGATTTGATTGGAAAGTAGATAAAGGTTGACCAAAAATTATTTTTGTCAAAATCCGATAAATTAAGGATATGAAAATGAATTAACAATTAATATATTTAAAAGTAAATATATGATTTTTATAATTGATAATTGTATTTAAAGGCATTATTTGTAATTTAAGGAAACTAACGAGTAGGAATTTATGTTAATAATATGTTATAAATATATTTAATTTCATAACAAATGAGTAAATGTCACACTAATAAACTTCATAATAAATTAATGATACTTATTTATTTATTTATTTCAACTAGTGTTTTAGGGGGTGTATTAGATTAAGATTTTAAAGAATTTTTTTAATTAAAAAAAATCTGCGAATTTTAAAAGACTTTAGTTAAACTTCATATTATGTTGTTGATTCCTTGGTAGCTGAGTTGTGAGTTTGGGGGTTTTTGAAGATGGGAATCTTTGCTCATGGTGAATCCTTGATATATAGTTGTTGTTGCTTTTGATTGTGAAGTCTTGATGTGTATGTATCGTATAGTCGTTATATGTTGCAAAAATGTTGGTTGTTGGGTTGTTGTGTGTAGAGTTTTGGGCGAAAATTAATTTTGCATAAGTGCATCATGTCGAGTGCAACTCAATTAGAGGGTCCTACTTTCTTTAATGCAAGCTTAGGGTTGATGACATTGAGTGTGAGAAAAAGGAATAACCTCAGGTTGGAGTAGTGTGAGGCATGATCTGAAAGACACCAGGCATGAGAAGAGAGAATTGTCTCTACCAGGGTTCACATCGGATGTTGATGGGTGTGGCACCAAACGTGAGTTTGGAAGAAGGCCTCTACCTGATTGGGGTCGAGGGCGAGTTTTACCATGCTAAATGTGAGAGAGTGGAACACTCTTTACCTTAATCATGTCGAGTGCAAATGGTGTGACATCGGGTGTGGGCGATATAGAGAGCTTTTTGTCTCGATGACGTCAAGTGCGAAGTGCCTGTTGTTGATTTGTTATTCTATGGTGAATTGTAGTTGAATATTGATGATTAAGTTGTTTGTATGTTGATATATATATATATATATATATAATGAATATCTATGTTGTAAGTTGATAAATGAATTGATGATGTTAAGATGTAAGTTGTATGTTGTGTAGTTGTTAAGTTGAGAAGTAGTTAACATGTGGTTGAGATACATCTTTTAATTAATATACATAGATTCTAGAGGTGAGTTATGACGTTTTTAAGGTTGTTTTTTGCCTTGAGGTCTTAGAATAGTGGATTTAAGCCTAACTCAACCCTACAAAACTGGCTTGTAAGGTGATTGTTATTTTCCACTTATATACTATTTAATTGCCTAATCTCTAGTCGATGTGGGACTTGGGTTTTTCCCAATACACCTTCTCACATCCAGCACTATTGGGCTTGGTACGTGGATAAATGGTAAGTGACATTTTTTTAATGATCTAGGATTGGCGAAACTTGAATACACCCCCTCATGCCCATGGTTGCATGTATATGAATGGTAGGTGACCCTTTTTAATGGCAGGACTTGAATACACCCCCTCATGCCCATGGTGCATGTATCAATGAATGGTGGGTGACCCATTTTTAAGAATCTAAGATAGCTCTGATACCATCTTAGAATAGTGGATTTAAGCCTAACTCAACCCTACAAAACCGGCTTGTAAGGTGAAGGTTGTTTTCCACTTATATACTATTTAATTGCCTAATCTCTAGTCGATGTAGGACTTGTATTTTTTCCAATATTAGGATCTATGTGGATTGATATGGAGCTAGTCAAACCATATCTTAGTTAAATGACTAATTGAGTAAAGTACGAAGTTGAGGATTTGGTATCTAGCTTAGTATTGGGAGGTTGTGGTGCTTTGATAGTAGTCAGTGAATTAATCCCATAGGTGACTTAGTGTTGCAAACTAATATTGTGATAGGCACATGCCCAAATTGTTCTACCTTAACATACCATACTTCTTTGTTTAAGTGCGTGTTTGGTTTCACGTTTGAAACGTGAAAAATCACGTTTAACGTGGAAGCTACAATGTGTAGCTTCACGTAAAACGTGATTTTTCACGTTTCAAACGTGAAACCAAACACAGGCTAAGTGGTAAAACCTAATAAATCAAATTAAGTTATTTATACCTAATTCTCTTTAAGGCCTAACATTATATTATACTTTGACCCGATTGTGATAGATCTAACATTATGATTCGATAGGGTTAAATCACTTAAATTGTTCACATTTATTGTAAGAGATTTCCTTAGTTGACATACGTATTGTTGTATGTTGTTTATTTTGTAAACTCACCCTTTTTTTTCTTGGAATTGAGACTACTATGACAATACTTAATATATGAGCAGGGCAAAATTAGGTAGTTAGCTAGAGTGGTGGTGTGAAATCACGTTGGAGGTGACTTGTTTTGTATAACTCTTTTGGTGGAGTCATGTTTCAGAGTTCTCAATCAAGCGTTAGAAGATATATTTTTGTAGTTGTTTAGAGTATATGATGTATATAATATATGTACAAAATTTTTATAAGTTGTGTATATTCTATGTATTTTATCTTATGCATGAATAATCAGTTACCTTTGGAGGTTGATTTATCTAGATTGTTTATACAATGTTTTATCTTCTGCTTTGCTTTGTAATAAGTGTAGTGATATATCAAATCATTATAAAATAAATTAATCAATCCTTTAATAAGATATTTGAGGAAATATGATTGAAAGTTGAGACTATAAGTCTTTTAACACAACTTAGTTATTAATAAAATTTAATAAATATTTAGTATCAATAATATATTTTTTTAAATAAAATATTTGAAATTGGGGTTGTTTGGAATTTTATCATGAGGCGAATGCAACGTCAAAGTAGTTAAAGAAGTGATAATTGATGGAAATTAAAATTCATCACAAGATATTATAATACAAGTGACCAGATTTTTAAGTAATCTATTTAAAATTTATAATTTTAAAACGGTCAAATTTATTTTATTTTATTTTATTTATTTTTAAAGTTGGTGTTTAAATTTTTTAATTTAAATGCCAGAAATTTAAATGAACGAGTTTTAATTTAAGTCCTTTTATTTTTTTTGTTTTTCATAATTATAAATTTAAAAAATCTTAACTGTTTAAAATTTTAACCATTTAAAAAAATAAAATAAAATTTTAAACTAATTAAAATTCTTATCATTTATTATTTATGTCTTATTGTGAATTTTAGTCATCCATCGGTAAGAGTTACCTCACCTGCAATTCACTTTATAACTACCGATGTAAAAAAAAATTATTGTCTCTCCGAGTATTTTTTACAAAATAAATATAAAATAAAAGTAAGTTGTTAACAATTAAAAAAAATTGAACAATTTTGAAATAGTTTGTTGGAGTAGTCCCTTTAGACTTTTATTGTCTTAAACTCTGTGTTGTATTGTTTATTTTTTGTGTCAGATGTGAAGATAATTATATAATTGTGTTTCATATTTGATATTTATGAGTTGTTTATTATCTCTAGTTTACCTTGCGTGTTTCCATGTGATTTGGACTACGATGATCAAACATTAGTATGGGACAGAGTAAGAATAGGCTGAAAGATAACTACTAAAGACTACAGGAGGTGCCTGGAGATGAATATTTTTTTTGTAAGCTACCTTATAGTAGCATATTTTGTTGTATATAACTGATTGCTCGATTAGCAACTTTGTTGTATATAACTGATTGTTCGATTAGTAACTTGTGTTATAAATATTTTAGTATATATATTTCAATAGTGTGTAGTGTTATTTCGTAGTATGACGGTCATGACAGGTCGTTACATAATTATTGTTGATAGAGTAGTTTTGAAGTAATTTTAAGAGTAAAATTTAGAGAAAACAAAAATGATCAAGAGAAAAAAAAAAAGAGAAATAAACATGTAAAAAAATCTAAAAGATATGTATACAACATAGAATAATACTTTTATTATTAAAATATAGTTGATTAACAATACATTTGCTTTCGGAAACTGTATACAATATGAAATATAGATGAATAGTATAATCCTTTTTATTATTTATTATTAAAATATAGTTTACGGTGCAGCTGCCAAAACAGCACTATTGTAGCACCTACAATAATTGCTAGAGTAAATAAAAATTATTACAATAAATAATTATCAGTTATAATATTTTAATTTTTTTTATTAACTTAAGGTAAAAAAAAAAAAAACAAGATAAAATAATATTATTATACTTTACTTGTTTTGAATTACTTTTTGTCTTATTTTCTTGATTATATCTTATATGTTACTTAAGAAATTAGATTTATCTATTTAATTTTTATTATTTTTTATAACTGCTTATTGATTGGAGTATCCTTAATATTCTTTTTTAATATATTTTATTTTGTCTAGAAAAAATATAAATACAATATTAGGCTTATAACTATGGATAATCAAGGTAGAAAGCCAAAAACAAATAATGAACAGTAATTACCTAAATGAGAATTGAGAATTTCCAAAGGATCCACCTTCTTTTGATGAAAACCTTGATAGGTCAAGTCATGGTAGAAGGAGAAGCAAATTAATCAGATATATGAACTGCTCTCTAAATCACTATGAACTTTGGCTATTCTATTAGATCTTGATTTATGTAGCAACCATGTGAATGGATTGAATGAAAAATAATAAAGAAACCATTGTAAGTTCATATATGTATCTTAAACATATTTTCTCAAACGTTATAAAAGCTAAATTTAAAATAAAAAATGAAGATCGTAGAGATCAACCAAAGTTATAACATATTTGTTCACAAGGGGAAAATTATAAAGCAAGCAAAACATACCCGATCAAAGTTGGAGTGGTTTGTCCAAATGGAAGCCCATAAACTCTTTTTTCGAAAGGAGTGGATAGAAATGATGCTGCTTTCATATAGTCCATCACGGCGCCTCGTGGGAGGGACCATTTAATGATGGCAATAATTATATAGAGTTAATACCCATTTTGCCCCTATATTTATTTATTTATTTTTATAATTAAAAATAATTTTTTTCTACATATAATATTGGACTTCGGAATAGTTACATGCCGTGGAGAAAAAGAGCTATTCATTCTTTGTGTGTGTTTAAATTTCACTCCGCTTCATTCTCTATTCTTTTTTGTGGAGACATTTGTTTACTCCATTAATAAGTTTGTTTACTCCACTAATAAATTTAGATAAATTTAATTCATTCAATAATTAATATTTTATATCAAATTTTAATGACTCAATCGTTGAATTTAAAGTTTTTAATATATAAATTAAATTTGTAAACTTTTAAAAAATTTAAAAATTATTTAATATTTTATTTTATTAATTTAAATTAATAGATAATTATAAAATTATTTTATACAT